TGGAATATATTTAATAAGTAAAAATTATGAAAAAACAAGCAAAAAAAAAAAAAGGTCCAAAATAAGCATGCTAAGGAATTCTGAATATCCATTGTAATTTGTATAATTGAAAATGTAAGCAAGTACTCTAAATTGCGTATTGAGTTATTGAAGTCTGGTTCAAAATGTAAAATATATACATATATATTTTATCATTTAAAAAAAAAAAAAGTTTTGCATGCAAAGTCAACAACAGAAAAGGATACCCATATGACTACAGTTAAAAACAGGGATTATAGCATAAAAGGTACAAGCAAAGTTTCTATTTCCATCTCTGTCTTTAAGATAGGAAAATACACAAATGTACAGTTTATAGTACATTTTATTGACAATTGTGTGCTTTGGTGTTGATTTATATTACACATAAAGTCCTAACTGTGACTTAAATGATCACCAACAGTAAATATACTTATTTTTAACCCCTTAAGGACCAAATTTCTGGAATAAAAGGGAATCATGACATGTCAGACATGTCATGTGTCCTTAAGGGGTTAATGTTTTGTGTAACTAATGAACTTTTTTTTTTTTTTTTAATTCTCTTTTTATTATCAAATTTATCACCATAAATACATTATACAAAAAAAATATTTTAAAAGACATTCAAATTCATACACATAAACACAAAGACAAAAATGACAATGAAAAAAAAAAAATACATCCCACCCCCACGAGAGTTCTACAGACTTCCAACTTCTCTACCTCTTTTCAGATGATATTAATATTACAATTGTAGTAATTTTTTTCCCCAATTTTCCCATAGGCTCAATTTATCATTCAAAAGCTTGCAATGATCAACTTAATCATAAAGTAGAATCAGGACTACAGTGGAAATGGAATAGGATAGGTTAATAGAAAACTTTCCAAAAGTTATACTGATAGAGATAAAATGCTTACAGCCCTAGGAATTTGACACAAATAAGATAATTGTATCCAACTTGCAAAAGATTGTATCAGCTTTCAATCAGACTATTTACCTCCCGTGAAGTAAGTCTTTTATATATGTGTTTTGTTTAGACAGTGTCTATCTGCAATAAATATTCAAAAGAAAGTACCCTGTCCACTGCACTATATGACTGACTGAACGGCAAGGACTTTAACCCTTTGGGTATATTGATACAACACTTGGATATAGTATATCCTGTATTATTTATGTACCGGTTTTCTTACCTAAAAGTTAAGGAACCGATACTATATTATTATTTGCAGCTTTATCATACCTTTCCTGCCTACTTCATGGGAGGTAAATAGTCTGATTGAAAGCTGATACAATCTTTTGCAAGTTGGATACAATTATCTTATTTGTGTCAAATTCCTACAGCTATAAGCATTTTATCTCTATCAGTATAACTTTTGGAAAGTTTTCTATTAACCTATCCTATTCAATTTCCACTGTAGTCCTGATTCTACTTTTGATTAAGTTCATTAGTTACACACAACATAATTTTCCATAATAGCCTAAGGTGGTGGCTATTTTTTCAGTGAGACGGTGGTTATGGTTGTCTAAATTAGGTCTCTCTATCTAACTTGAGCAGGGTATCTCATCATCCATTTAGGTGTGCTAACCTGCCTATAAGTTGTTTTCACTTGTTTATACTTATTTTTAATGTTCGTGATCCCCTGCCTCATGTAAAATATTTTCTTTTTTTAAATGTATATATTTATTTTTTCTTGAGGGTAATCCAGTACTGGCAACCTCTGCCTGGACAATGGTCCAATCATATGCTTCTCAAAGAGAATCTTTAGGAACTGACTGGGCTTGCAAGGATATTGCTGCACTCAGCCAAATGGATGCTCCTCGTAGAGAAATATTAAACATTAGGCTTCTTTATGAGAAGCATTCACAGTGATGCCAAACATGATAACTTTTCAGTAATTGAAAGGAGACACCTCTATTGTCTGTCAGGCCGACAGCCACAAGAAACGTGTTTATGGACATTTTGATGATTCTGGAACGTAGACAGGGTCTTTGCACTAAAACCACTTCAGTAAATTGTGCTTGTAGGGAAAACTGTTGGGTTTTCTTTTTTTTTTTTATTCTTTATTGTGCCATGTTTGATACAAATAATTTTGTAGAGCCACAGGAGCCCATACATGAATATCAAAGAGCAAGATGGAACACATGGCGTGAAAACCGAGACGGTCAAAGGCAAAACATAGTGTAGCATTGCAATGATACTACACGTGTTTTATATTAAGTAGACATTTGCACAAATATCTATATAGCATTAGTGACACAATGTAAGGCATACAGCACTAGGTTACAATAAGAGAGTTAAACATGAGGGCTGTGTGAGGATTCAATAACTGGATACAGTACATGGGTAACAAAATAAGAGTGATAAGATGAAATAAAATTTAGAATTTTTGTCACTTGTGTGCCGCTGGATTCACCGTTCAGCTGGATCAGAGTACTTGTGATGAGAGTTATCTCTTTTGCCAACCAGCACATAAAGTCAGAAAGTCAGCCTATACCCTGATTGGGCACATATCTTCCATGTATGTATTGTCCGCTGAAGTGACCCGCGCATCGGTTCTGTTGTGGATCAGAATGTTGATCTTTGTTATATTCAGAGGAAACCCAAATTGTTGTTACAAGTGCACTTGGAGAAGCGAGAATTAGATACCAGACACCTGTTGGTATTCAAAATAAGCCTCTGACGTTTTATTCATCAGCTGGGTTTTATACATTAAAAAGTAAGTGCTTAAATGCAAATATTCTTAGAACAGTAATAGGAAGAGAGTACAGATAATACATAGGGATGAGCGTCATGTACACATAACAAATAAGTTTCAAGGTAAGAGAGAACAATAAGATTAGAGCAGAGACATCTTAGGTGGGGGTTCTCTGCTCCCGGAACTTAGACATATATGGTCTTAAGTGTTGTTTAAGAATCAAGCATTTCCTGAGTCCAAGTTAGCCAATTTTAATATAGGATATCATTATATGACACCTATAAGCTTGAGCCTTGGAATCAAGATAAATTCTATCACAGTTCAGAGGTGAGGCACTCCCTATGCCCCAGACCTGTTCTAGATCTTGCACCATATTGCCGTGAGCTGTGGCCCACTTATCCGCTCCCCACCAGACTTTGATCTGAGCACAGTCCAGCCTTACCTCACCACATATGTTTCATCAGGACCTGATTCTGGAATCTGCAACCGGCATCCGCAAATCACGATGGGTGAGTGACATCTGCGAGTGTGAGCGGGATATATGAGGGTCTTTTTACTGGACTGCAAGAGAGACCCAGGTGTGTAGCAGTTCACAGGGTTGCGATGCTGTTTTCGGTGACGATCCTGTTTTTGAGGCATCCGCCTCCGCGTTCTCATCATCAGCACTGAGTCTCGCTTTGTTGCGGTTAAGTGTGGTGCGGTGCCGCGGCGACAGGCTCCTGCACTCTGTGATGGGTTCCGACAGGCAGGGTGTGGGAATGGACGGCTATCCAGGTCCAGAATGCTCTGCACACCTCATCGAATCTAGCTTCAAAGCGCTGCCTCCAGTCTAGGCTTTCCAGGCTTGCTTGTTGCAGCAAGGGCCTCGGTATGGCGGCCATCTTCGACTTGCCATGTGGTCCTTGGCACCGTATATTTCAGGCTATTCAAGTTGTTAGTGTATCCAGTGGACACCGGTATCAGCCCCACTGGTCCACGGGGTGGGAGGGGGGGGTGAGTGCCCGCCTTCTGCTGCAAGTTTTTGCAATTTTAGTAGCTTTATAGTTTGTGCTGGTATGAGCTCCCAGAGAACACGTCTGGCCAGCTTGCGAGTCAGGCCTCGCCCCCCTTCTGTTAGTTTTCTACATGTGAATAATTGGTTGGACGAGAACTTCCTCTATAATGTTTTTGCATCTAGCTAACCAGGTTCCTGATATTTTAGTAAAACTTGTCATGTACTGAATTCCAGCCTCATCCATTATTCCTACACCTCTCGTTATTGTATATCCAATTACATGGATAAATCCCTGAAATGTTTAATTGTAAACCATGTCAATGTTTGTTGGTTTTAATTTATTTTCTGTTTCTTGCCATCACTGGGTAAATACATTTTACCAGGGGATTGCTCCTTCTGAATAACTGTAACGGACCGTTTCTCTCACAAGAGGATAAAAACCATTTAGGTGATAATCCCCTTTCCCATAGACCAGCAGCTACTGCAATCACCAATCTCCCGAACTCCAAACTGTACGAATCCCCAACTCCCGAACAGGAAACACACGAACCCTGGAAGCAGCCGAACAGGAAAAGCCCTAAGAACAGCTTACACTCCTGGCAATCGGCATACAGTCAAATTCCCCCCAAGAATGAGACGACACTTCACTTGGAGGGTTAAACAGGAACAACCCTGATTTATTCACCCAACAGGCTTATAAAGGATTCTCCCATGCAAGGGAGGGATTTACAACAATTACACAATACACCAATCACACATGAGTTACCTCCCACAATGCCTCACAATCCCTCCCCTCTGGCCTGGAGATAATTGGGGAAGGAATCTAATTATCTCCCAGGACAGAGGCAAAACTCCATTACCCACATGGCAGACAAAAAGACAGTAAAAGACATAAAATTACATACTGATACATTTAGTACATAAAACACACATTTCTACACATCCCCAGATAGCTTTGATCTGAGCGCACATTATTAGATGAATGGCACTCAGATCACACGAATAAGCCTTTCTGCAGGGAAAATAAATGGTTTAACCTGCAGGGCCATAGTCCAAAGGGAGCAGGCGAGCAACCAGGCTTCTCCAGTTCACAGTGGCGAGGTTGGTTTCGCCACACTTCTCCCCTTTACCAACTAGACTAACAGGGTATCTGACCTCCTGCCGGTCAGTGCCCTGGTTAGTCCAGCAACCCACCCACAAAACAGAAACAGCAGTACAGCCCACCGACAATAACTGATTACTACACCTGGGTAGAGGAGAGCTTTGTCCATGTCCAGGTGCCTCACTACGACTGTGTGGGGAACTGTTAGGCTGCCTTGGTGGGTTGCTGAGTGGGCAGAGACTAGCGGTACTCTGCCCTGGTGCCAGTACTACCGCGGAAGTAGCCTGGTTGGAGCCTGGTTGTGGGAAGGAGAGACCGACTGTCTCCCCTCTGGATATACCGCTCTGTGGCTGGGGGACAGGAACGACCATCCTTACCCCTTGTGCTGCAAGTACAGAGACTACGGTCCCATCTGCACCGTTGGGGGGTGTAACATCTCCCCTTGGTGGGTTAGGCTGCCGCTGGAGAGAGGGTGTAACAAGCTCCTCTCTCTGGACTGTAAACTGATGCTGGGGAGAGGGGGTATCAGGCTCCTCTCCCTGACACTCTTTGCTGGTGGAGAGTGGGACCAGCTGTCTCCCCTTTCATTATCTTGTCCTGCGGCTGGGGGGCAAGACTGACAGTCCCTGCTTCCTGCAGGACATTCTGCCGCTGGGGAGGAAGGACAACACCTTCTGCTCCCTGGGATATACACTGCCGCTGGGGAGGAAGGACGGCACCTTCAGCTCCCTGGGGTACACACAGCCGCTGGGGAGGAAGGACAACACCTTCAGCTCCCTGGGGTACACACTGCCGCTGGGGAGGAAGGACTGCACCTTCTGCTCCCTGGGATATACACTGCTGCTGGGGAGGAAGGACGGCACCTTCAGCTCCCTGGGACACACACTGCCGCTGGGGAGGAAGGACGACACCTTCAGCTCCCTGGGATACACACTGCCGCTGGGGAGGAAAGACTGCACCTTCTGCTCCCTGGGACACACACTGTCGCTGGGGAAGAAGGACGACACCTTCAGCTCCCTGGGAGACACACTGCCGCTGGGGAGGAAGGACGGCACCTTCAGCTCCTTGGGGGGGACACTGCCGCTGGGGAGGAAGGACGGCACCTTCAGCTCCCTGGGACACACACTGCCGCTGGGGAGGAAGGACGGCACCTTCAGCTCCCTGGGATACACACTGCCGCTGGGGAGGAAGGACTGCACCTTCTGCTCCCTGGATCACACACTGCCGCTGGGGAGGGAGGACGACACCTTCAGCTCCCTGGGGTACCCTTTTGAGTCCCCGTAACGCACTCTGCCACTGGATAGGGCGGCCGATACCTTTGGCTGGATCTGCCATGAACTGCAGGTACTCATCTACCTGGCTCCTTACAAACTGCACGCATCTCTCCGGGGGGTTGGGTCCAAAGAAAGCCATCCGCGTGGTAAATTCTCTGTCATACTGCTCCTGAGTGTAGCTGGGTGCCATGCTTGCCCTGCTGCCCTCCATTTGTAAGTCCAGGGGATGGTGTTACCTTGTAGCTGTCCTTCTGGGCTGTGGGAATGATCCCGTCGCTTGCCACCACTGTAACGGACCGTTTCTCTCACAAGAGGATAAAAACCATTTAGGCGATAATCCCCTTTCCCATAGACCAGCAGCTACTGCAATCACCAATCTCCCGAACTCCAAACTGTACGAATCCCCAACTCCCGAACAGGAAACACACGAACCCTGGAAGCAGCCGAACAGGAAAAGCCCTAAGAACAGCTTACACTCCTGGCAATCGGCATACAGTCAAATTCCCCCCAAGAATGAGACAACACTTCACTTGGAGGGTTAAACAGGAACAACACTGATTTATTCACACAACAGGCTTATAAAGGATTCTCCCATGCAAGGGAGGGATTTACAACAATTACACATGAGTTACCTCCCACAATGCCTCACAATCCCTCCCCTCTGGCCTGGAGATAATTGGGGAAGGAATCTAATTATCTCCCAGGACAGAGGCAAACTCCATTACCCACATGGCAGACAAAAAGACAGTAAAAGACATAAAATTACATACTGATACATTTAGTACATAAAACACACATTTCTACACATCCCCAGATAGCTTTGATCTGAGCGCACATTATTAGATGAATGGCACTCAGATCACACGAATAAGCCTTTCTGCAGGGAAAATAAATGGTTTAACCTGCAGGGCCATAGTCCAAAGGGAGCAGGCGAGCAACCAGGCTTCTCCAGTTCACAGTGGCGAGGTTGGTTTCGCCACAATAACATTTTCTATAAGTCCGTTAAGTCTTTAGTGGTCATTGTCTTTCACCTTGGGCTTTCCCTCATACTGTTTACAATATGTTGTTAAATGTTTGCTTTCTTTGCCGGTCTACTTTTTTATTCTTTATATAAAGGAATGCAAACATGTATTCCTGACACTATATAGTTCTGACATCACTATTTAGCCTCCGGCCCCTTGTCAGTATAGTAAAAGGTGTAAAAGTCCTCTTTATTCCAGCCCCGCGCGGGTCCGCTTCCTTGGCTGAGATCATCAATTTGACACTCTCAGCCAATCCAATGCTTTCCCATAGGAAAGCATTGCGAGGCAATTGCGCATGCGTATCAAAACACCACACTACACCAATCGGTATCACCTCATAGAGATACATTCGTTCAGAACTGACCTAGGAAGCACCTCTAGTGGCCATTTGAGTGACTGCCACTAGAAGTGTTCCTACATAGAAAAAAGACAGTGTTTACATTAAAATGCCTGCATGGACATACAGGGAGTGCAGAATTATTAGGCAAGTTGTATTTTTGAGGATTAATTTTATTATTGAACAACAACCATGTTCTCAATGAACCCAAAAAACTCATTAATATCAAAGCTGAATATTTTTGGAAGTAGTTTTTAGTTTGTTTTTAGTTATAGCTGTGTTAGGGGGATATCTGTGTGTGCAGGTGACTATTACTGTGCATAATTATTAGGCAACTTAACAAAAACAAATATATACCCATTTCAATTATTTATTATTACCAGTGAAATCAATATAACATCTCAACATTCACAAATATACATTTCTGACATTCAAAAACAAAACAAAAACAAATCAGTGACCAATATAGCCACCTTTCTTTGCAAGGACACTCAAAAGCCTGCCATCCATGGATTCTGTCAGTGTTTTGATCTGTTCACCATCAACATTGCGTGCAGCAGCAACCACCGCCTCCCAGACACTGTTCAGAGAGGTGTACTGTTTTCCCTCCTTGTAAATCTCACATTTGATGATGGACCACAGGTTCTCAATGGGGTTCAGATCAGGTGAACAAGGAGGCCATGTCATTAGATTTTCTTTTTTATACCCTTTCTTGCCAGCCACGCTGTGGAGTACTTGGACGCGTGTGATGGAGCATTGTCCTGCATGAAAATCATGTTTTTCTTGAAGGATGCAGACTTCTTCCTGTACCACTGCTTGAAGAAGGTGTCTTCCAGGAACTGGCAGTAGGACTGGGAGTTGAGCTTGACTCCATCCTCAACCCGAAAAGGCCCCACAAGCTCATCTTTGATGATACCAGCCAAACCAGTACTCCACCTCCACCTTGCTGGCGTCTGAGTCGGACTGGAGCTCTCTGCCCTTTACCAATCCAGCCACGGGCCCATCCATCTGGCCCATCAAGACTCACTCTCATTTCATCAGTCCATAAAACCTTAGAAAAATCAGTCTTGAGATATTTCTTGGCCCAGTCTTGACGTTTCAGCTTGTGTGTCTTGTTCAGTGGTGGTCGTCTTTCAGCCTTTCTTACCTTGGCCATGTCTCTGAGTATTGCACACCTTGTGCTTTTGGGCACTCCAGTGATGTTGCAGCTCTGAAATATGGCCAAACTGGTGGCAAGTGGCATCGTGGCAGCTGCACGCTTGACTTTTCTCAGTTCATGGGCAGTTATTTTGCGCCTTGGTTTTTCCACACGCTTCTTGCGACCCTGTTGACTATTTTGAATGAAACGCTTGATTGTTCGATGATCACGCTTCAGAAGCTTTGCAATTTTAAGAGTGCTGCATCCCTCTGCAAGATATCTCACTATTTTTGACTTTTCTGAGCCTGTCAAGTCCTTCTTTTGACCCATTTTGCCAAAGGAAAGGAAGTTGCCTAATAATTATGCACACCTGATATAGGGTGTTGATGTCATTAGACCACACCCCTTCTCATTACAGAGATGCACATCACCTAATATGCTTAATTGGTAGTAGGCTTTCGAGACTATACAGCTTGGAGTAAGACAACATGCATAAAGAGGATGATGTGGTCAAAATACTCATTTGCCTAATAATCCTGTACTGTACACACTAGAACAACAACATTAAGCTGTAGTTGTTCTGGTGATTATAGTGTCCCTTTAAGAAAAGAAATACAAAAGATCCAAGATCATAGAAAATCGACGTCAAATGCAAATTTTGAACAGTATAGTTTTAAAAAATATAAATTAAATACTCAAAGTAGAACACCCATTTATTTTTCTATGAATTCGTAATTCTACTTTTCACTCACTTCTTTCCTTGTGCTTTTTTTCCCTTCACTATGGGTATGAAAGCTTCTAAATCATTCTAAACCCTTTTTTTATTTTATTTTTTAAATTTCATTATCTACATTTTTTCTCAACTTTGCAATTTTATTTTCATAAATTACTCACTGATCAATTGATAAATCCTCATGTACGTAGAGATCTAGTGTGCCTTATCTTGTCACTTAATGAGTAAAAGTTTCTCGTACTTACTCTGGAAACCAATATTTGTTTGAACGCAAAACACAGTGTATTTACCTAAGGATATTTTGACACTTTTACCATTTTACTGTCAATCTTTGTTAAAAACTGTAGTAAAATTGGGTTGTTGTTGTGTTTTCTTTTTTTTATTATTTTTTACATGCATACATATATTTTCATATTGTGTTCATCATCTGAGTACAATACCTCCAATGTATGCCTTTGCCACTATCTTATGTCGTAACAGTGCCATAAAATAGATCTGATCATTTCAGTTTTTACATTTCAAATTTTGATAGATGGATTTGATGGGCTTATGGCTCATTTTGGTTGGGGCATTGCAGCAGTTTGTTTATATTATCCCTTAAATGCCTATCATTTGTGAAACTAGGCAGTCCATGGTATCTCATATGTTGTGTATTGTGCCTGGTATTCAACAGTCCATGTCAAAGTTTATGATCTTTGTTGTTTTTTTACCGTACACATTGCATTTATGCTGGGCATATTGTAACTCTGATACAGACCATTATGATCAAACCCTCCAAGTTATGCTCCACTAACTCTGCTGAGTAAAACAATGTGTGCCTTTGCCACTACATTCCTATGTAAAAGACCTGACCATTTCAGATTTTACAAATTCAATTCTGATAGATTGAGGTCTCATTTTGGGGTATTGTAGTAGCTTGTTTAAATTACCCTACATGAATGCATACCATTTGCAAAAGTAGACCCCCATTAAGTATGCCATATGCAGGGGCGGACGGACCATTCAGGCACTTAGGCAATACCCGAGGGCCTAGTCCACGGAGAGCCTCAAGAGGCCCCGTCATGCTACTGACTTTGGGGCCCCTCCAGTCAGGCCAGCAGCGATAATCTTTTAAATGATGGCCGCTGCGCATGTTCGTGTGACAGGCTGGACAGGGGCCTGCCAGTGACGCAACTTGCACCACTAAAATGGGCAGGAAAGAAGGGGCATGCCAGCTTAATTCAGAGCAGACTGTGCAGAGCACGCTGATGATGCACTCTCCATTCCCAGTGCACTCTGCATTATGTGATTGTACTGTGATGATTAGAGTTTGTTCCATGGGGTATAGCATCTGGAGAAGGCTGGACTTGACCCCAAAATCATGACTGTATCTCCTAAAATCATTGAGAGGAATGTCCTAGGGCTAGTTCTTTCCCTATCCGATGATCCCTTTCTTTTTTTAAAGACATCAGTAGACTGCAATTTAAATTCTTAGATTTCGTACATGATTGGTTTGATCATAGGCGTGCGCAGCCTATTGCATTAGGGTGTGCACCCTAAAGCACAAGCACACGCCGCATATATATATATATGTGTATGTATATATATATATATGTATATGTATGTATGTATATATATATATATATATATATACACACATACACACACTGCTGTGTGTGTGTGTGTGCTGTGTGAGGGTGCTGTTAGTGTGATGTGTGTGTGACGATGCTGGTAGTGTGCTATGTGGGTGAGGGTGTTTGTGTGTGCGTGCTTGTGAGGATGCTGTTAATGTACTGTGTGTGAGGGTGCTGTTTGTGTGTGTGTGCGCTTGTGAGGGTGCTGTTAATGTACTGTGTGTGAGGGTGCTGTATGTGTGCTGTGTGTTGGTGCTGTGTATGTCTGTGGGTGCTGTGTATGTCTGTGGGTGCTGTATGTGTGTGGGTGCTGTGTATGTCTGTTGGTGCTGTGTATGTTTGTGGGTGCTGAATGTGTGTGGGTGCTGTGTATGTCTGTGGGTGCTGTATGTGTGTGGGTGCTGTGTATGTGCTGTATGTCTGTGGGTGGGTGCTGTATGTCTGTGGGTGCTGGTATGTTGTGTATGTCTGGGTGCTGTATGTGTGTGGGTGCTGTATGTGTGTGGGTGCTGTGTATGTGTGTGGGTGCTGTGTATGTGTGTGGTGCTGTATGTGTGTGGGTGCTGTGTATGTCTGTGGGTACTGTGTATGTCTGTGGGTGCTGTATGTGTCTGTGGGTGCTGTGTGTGTGGGTGCTGTGTATGTGTGTGGGTGCTGTGTGTGTGTGTGCTGTATGTCTGTGGGTGCTGAATGTGTGTGGGTGCTGTATGTGTGTTGTATGTGTGTGGGTGGGTGATTGTGGGGGGTGGAGTGGGGGTACATTATTTGCTATCCCCCCTCCCTTCTTACCTTTTGTAGGGAGGGGGGATCGTGCTGCTGCTTCCTTCCCTGGTGGTCCAGTGGAGGAGGGGATCCTTGTTGCTGCTGTGATCCCTGGTGGGCCAGTGGAGAGTGAACTCTAACCCCTGTGGGGCTAGAGTTCACTCTCGCGAGATTTGAGCGTTGCCGTGGCAACGCTCATATCTCGCGAGAGGAACCCGGCGGAGCTGCCGGCAATAGCTCCGCCGGGTCCTCTCCTGCCTCCCTCCCTGCATGTGGGTCAGTGGGGAGGGAGGCTGAGAGCAGAGCCGGCACTCGGATAGCGCCGGCTCTGCATGAGCCGACAGGGGAGATCCTGAGATGTCCCCTGCCGGTCTCAATATGCATAGGCGGGCCGCGGGGATTAGGGTGTGCCCAGGCACAACAGGCACACCCCGTGCGCACGCCTATGGGTTTGATTGTATTTATTTAATCCAAAAGGCTGTCTGTTCCACAATTGTTTATATTTTATAGGCTCACGCAGTTTTATAATTTCTTCTCTTCATTTTCAAACTACCACAATAATGTATAAATATTGTGTACCTACCGCAAACATTACGTAAATAGACATATCGTACACACTTTCAGTCACTCGCAACTAAACTAGCCGAACACATGCACACATGTTTGCAATAAACAGTCCACACTGCAAACTAATTAATTCCCACTCTCTGACACTTGTAACTAACAACACACCGAGACATCATACCGCCCCTTACTCACAACCCAAATTAACACATATCCACTGCATTACCAACCTATAGTTCTACTGACACTCCCCTCTGAGAGCACCGACGAGGAGAAATTAGAAAAGTTTTATATCGCAATAGAACCCCTAAAGATACGCTAGTCCTGGAATGAAACCTAATGAGTATTTAGTAAATGAAGTAAACTAAGATAATCTTTACTTGTTGAATGCTGAAATGCTTTTTACCAGTACGCCAAGATAAAAATATGTTTCTGGGGGCGCGGAGCCTGGCAGCAGAGCTGCATAGACGTGTGCTGCATGAGCTCCTGCGACTGGCACACTAATCTCGACAATTATACTTAGCCAAATACCGACCGGGCTGCAAAGCAAAACAAAACTTGTTCCTGACATGCTGGTGGTTCCGGGCATGCCTCTCCTGGGACTCTACTCCACTGGCAAATCTAACTCGAGGCTTTGCGGCCTACCAGTGACAAGGCCGAGGAGAGACGGACGCTATCCTGCGACTTTAACTGGCGGTAACAATCGACAAATGTTGTCGTTTCCACCCTCCCCCCTATGGACCGGCAGGGGTTATTCCGGTCCTCCCTGGCATGCACGACACATCCGGGCAGCTGACACCTGCCACAGGGAGCAACCGGCAGGAATATCCCACCAGCAGACCGCTCACACGCTACAACGCACTCCGCGGAGTAGACGCTCCAACGAATAGACGCGCTAAATGACCAATTCTGGGCCAAGCTAGACAGGCAGGCGACAACCACACAGCGACCAACTCAAGGGGGAACCCAAAAGAGCGCAAGTCCGAGAAAGTATGGCCTCCAAATGGGCACGGAACACATCCGACAAGCTGCCAAACTTAGGTCAACATGCCTAGACCGAGGGCCTCCAAGGTAGCTACCCTGAGGCACCTACCACATAGACAGAGAACACTCCACATACCCACTGTGGGTGCCGGCTGATATGGACTACTTAACTAAGACGAGCGGCCGCTGGCTGCACTAACCACTAAGAACCGTGAAACTTATTCAGGACTAAGGGCTTCCTCCCACATGAGACTTTAATGCTTGGTGCACTACGCCAGAATCCTTTATTGTTTGATTTTTCTATATTTTACATGCTTAGTCAGACACTCTACAACCTTAAGCATATCTCCCTAATCCTACACTGTATCAGATTATGCACTTAGATTCACAGCTCAACCAGCATTAATAAGCCTGTAAAAATGAATACCTTCCCAAAATGCCACGATTCACAACGTGTCACGCAATCATCAGTACATACTAGCTTAGAGTAACAAAAAGGTTCCACATCACCGATCGACAAGGCAATCTGACTGACACACTTAAGCATATCTCTGATCAGCTCAACATGTCACATAACCGCATACCATCGCACACATAATCCACACGATCAGTCCACTATGAGGCTCACCAGCTTCTTAGTCCATCACACGAGTACACCACGCTTATCTCTTAGTGAATTTGCCTATACAGTCAGCCGGTATGGCTTAAACTCGCACCACATGTTGTGTCGTTGCACCACTGACAATCACTCTCTTTTCTTTTCTTGATCGCTTCATACAAAAATGTGCAACTATTTCCTATGCCACAACTGTTATCTCTTGTTTATACCGACACATGTTACTGCTGTTGTGGCAAGGCATGAAAGCTTGTTATATTAACTCATGCACGAAAAATAAAGAATTAAAAAAAAAAAACGTTTTTAGACTGCCCCTACACTGCATGCCCAAAATAGCTTATTGAAGAACAGATAAAATTGTCTGTGATTTCTTCTTAGAATGTCTGTGATTAGAATCCCTGCATTAAATAAGGCCATGCCTACAGAGAAAGGTGAGAATGGCCTGCAAGAAGCATTTCCATTAAATTAAATGAATAATAATTTCTAGAACATTAGCTTCATACAATCTGCTTGCACTTTTCACTAAGCCAAATGTAATAAATATTGCTTATAGATATAATGTTTATATTTTCTTACCGGTGACTGAGCTTTTATTTCTTTAGCTCTATATTATGTGAGGAAAAAAAAGATTTGCGACGTGTGACCTCATCAATGATTTATTGAGAGACATTTAATGACTTCGCAAACATAAAAAGCCACTTTAAATACATTACATATATTCCACTTTGACTGTAGTTCTCTTTCCTGAAATTGTGTGAGTGCCTGGTGTCAACAAACACATTTCCTTCTCATTTGAAGATTATCTAATGTAATTCAATTAACAGTAATCTTCTTTACTTGGTGATTATCCATGTAGATTTGGAACTCACCTGCTGGATTTTAAGCAGATTCCAAGATTCTACATTATGAGAGAAATTATATTTAAAAGAAATACATTGAGATGCCTTTTAGAATGTTTGTTTGTTTGATGACTAAAGTGACAGAAATGTGTGTAGTGTGTATAATATATTCTAAGTTGTCTACTTTTTCTTTTCCGTCCTGTAGAGCTGAGATTGGCTTTATCTTTGCACTGCTGGCAGCGCCTTGGCATCAAGGCTGCTATCAGAAATATTAGGACCTCTTACAAAGCTGTTGACTGGATCTCCCCACAACTGATATGGACTTCTATGGAACATTTTTAAAGGAGAAAAAATTCCCAGGGGCCCAATCTCTATATGAAATGATGTAGACAAGAGGGGCAAAGATTGTGTGATATTCTGAAATTGACACATGGGTAGAAACCACTGGTCCCAATCCACACAGGCCTCTCTGCTCAATTGGGCCGCTTACAGAGTGGGTCACTGTGTCTGTCACTGTGTGTGTATGTGTGGGTCACACTGTGTGTGTAGGTATGGGCCACTATATGTATATGTGGGCCACTGCATGTATGTGTATGTGTGGGTCACTCTGTGTGTATGTATGTGTGGGTCACTCTGTGTGTATGTATGTGTGGGTCACTCTGTGTGTATGTATGTATGGGTCACTCTATGTATATGTGGGCCACTGCATGTATGTGTGGGTCTGTGTGTGTGTGTAAGTGTGGGTCACTGTGTGTGTAAGTGTGGGTCACTGTGTGTGTAATTAAGTGTGGGTCACTGTGTGTG